TCATCGAGCTCTAGCACAAAAGGAATCCAAAAATAGACACTTTCCAAAGAGTTACAAAACGGTCTGTGTTTGCGAGGCTCGCAGCCGCACTGAGAAGTCAGAGGTTGAGGACAGGCACGTCAAAGAGGTCACAGACGCCTTCGCTCTCATCCAGGTTATAGATGTAGTCATGATCTCCAGGTGGAGGGGAGAGGCGGAGCAAGGGAGCAAACACTGGGGAAAGAGAAGCCCACGGTTGGTTACAAAACTCAGCACTCCCACACCTAGCCAAGAGCTGCCGATGGGCGCTGAGCCGCGGAGCCACGAGGAGACCACCCTGTAGGAACAGTCTTTCAGCTTGCTTCAAATCAGCCTTGTGGTATGGAAGAAGAGCCAGGCTCTTCTGGTCCTCACACCTCTCTCGGGGGCAGGCAGGACAGTGAGAATGGAGTCTGTGTCCAGAACCCAGAAAAGGTGAGGGCGAGCCTGCAGTCGCAAGGCTGTCAGCTGGGTAAAGCCACACAGCGTGGTCTTCCTCCCCCAGAAAGGCCACACCATGAGGGGGAGACTCAAAGACTCACCTTCAGATGACATCAGCTCCTCCAGCAGCTCAGAGTTCATACATTCTGGGGAGGAAACGAGCACAGTTAAGCAATGCAGTCTGCTTTCCTGGTGTGCCCCTGTGTAGTTCCTCACCCCGGTTATCCCTACTCTGGCTAAGGCACGGAGCGTGCAGCAGGCAGTGGGGACAGGAGGCTTGCGCCTCTTGCCATGGGCAAAGGGAAATCTGTGTGAGACTATTGAAGCTACATCAAAAAAATTCTACAGGAGTTTTCTCCCTGCTTTAGCTCAGCCATACCAGAACCAGTCTCCTTCATACGACGGGCTGGGCATGCTAGCTGGTGCCCCAAACTTCTCCAAAGGAAACTCTTCAACGTGTGCCTGAAACTGAGCTGGTAAAGCCCAACATATTCACAGTCCTCAATTACCCATCAACTTTGCTGAGAGTGGGGGAAAATTTCAAAAACAAACGAGCTGTTCCAGGAGCACTAGAACTAATGAGCCTCCGGTTTCCTCCGGATTTGTGTCCTCCTAATTCGCTCCCCTTGCCCCACGGCTGTGCTGTGGTTAATCCAGCCATAGGCCCTGGCAGATTCGCTGGCTGCCCGTTGCCAAAGAGAACGAACATCTGAGCTCTGCATATCCTTCCTTAACGAGGCAGTAACTCTGCTCTCCCCTCTACCGACCCCACAAAACTGTAAAAAAAATTATCTCTGAAATGTCATTCCCTCCTCCAGCATTGTTACTCTTGGCTAGCAGGTTCACGAGGCGCTTGAAGGGTAGGCAGACAAGCAGCCAGACGAGGCACGTGCAAGTCAATCTCTTCAAGAAACCAAGCGTTTGAAAACAACTTTCTGAATACCTCTCTCACTTTCCCAAGTTCAGTTAGTGAATATCTAACTCAATCTAACTGACTTGAACGAGATACTACCCACGCTTGAAATAAGCTTTCACAGAAGAAATTCAGATCAGCCCATTTTCAAGACGCTTATCCACAGCAGGCTGTTCCTTAGAGGACAGGAACCTACCTGCCTAATTCAGTGCCATGAGATGAATTCTCTCATCTCATTCAACACCAAGTGACTAGACAGGACTAATACCAGCTTCAATAAACAGCAATTAAATGCAGAACCTGCATTCTTAGATCGGGGCTGGTAATATAGCAGGGTGTGTATATGCGTGTGTTGAAATTCTTTTTTTTCCTCCAGGATATGACTTTAAAACAAGCATCCATTTAAAAAACGGAGAAAACCACGCAGAAAAAGTAATTCCAATACAAAACGCTACGGAAGAACTCCAGGCTCTTGCAGCTTAAACTGCATAGCCTTAACGCAGCCGCCAGTGCCAGGGCGACTGCACGGGGATGACAGAGGCTGCATGGAGCATGCTGCAAGGCCCGTTTCCCTCAGCTCTGCACTGTTGCTTTTTTAGTCCTGAGCTTTGCCTCAGTAGCTGTCGACTCTGTTTTGCAGAACGCAGCTTTCGTTTGCAATTCAATAGCGGATCACAGTTAAAAATATGACTTTGACGTGTTGCGTTGTCCGTCACTCCTGGATCTCCTTAATCCTCCAAATTGGCAAGATAAAACAACATATGTTACTGTAGACAGCAAACATCTCCTTTTTAATAGGGTTCACAAAGTCACACAGTACAGTTAGTTTGGGTTAAGCTAGATCTTCCACACGGGCTAGGGCCTTGCAGCAGTTTACGTTTCACATTGCAAAGTCAAATTTATTCTTCAGCATACTCAGTCATTACCAAGACCTCATCCACTGCCTACAGCAGCAAGTGCTGAGCAGGGAGGAAAGGTGTTCTCCAAGGCCAACTGCGGAGCCCAGGGCTCCTAGCACACAGATCGGGGGCTCGTGCACGGGCATTTGGGACCGTGGGGTTTTTACACAAAGGCAGCACCTTTCACAAAGCACCTGCTACAGCACAGGGGACTCGTACACATCCTGTCACCACCGCAAAAGCGCTTGCGTGTACTCAGCTCTGCCTAGCTGCAGGGCTAGAAAATATTACACCAGCACTGAAGGGAAATAAATGTGCAAATAGAGTTTCCCAGTTTAGGCTTGTGTTAGACCAAATTCCTTCACCTCTCCTGCTCGTAGGCCCAGAGTCTGTCCCACCCTTAGGCAGAGGCAGAACTATGACAAGCAACAGCATCCCCTCCCCTACTGCTCCAAAATTACTAGCATCACCAAAACCACTGAGGGATATTTCAGAGAGAGAAGACTATCTCCCTAGACTATTTGCTTGGATTAGCCTCGGGCAGGCTACAGCTGAAACAAGACTAACAGGGATTTTTCATGCGTGCCAACAAGCTGGAGAAGGAGCATGGGAAGCCAGAGCACAGATTAGTGTTGGCATGGGGAAGGGAAAGCCCTCATCTACACGCTGCAGGGCAAGCTAACAGAGGTTGCTGGCAACAGGAAGACAGAAAAATACATACAGAAACCAGTAATTTTAAGAGTCTGTAACTACAAGTAGAGAGCCAGCAGCCACCAACAACCACAAGCACCTTACAAAACCACAACCCCGAAAAATAATCCAAAAAGGGAGTGAATAAAACAAACTGTCCCACTTCTGTGGGTAGATGGGCACAGAACAAAGCCGTGATCAGGGAATGAACATACCTCTCGTTGGATCAAACATCTCTGACAGCTCTTTGGGAAGTTCCAGTACTGCAAATACAACAAACCAAATGGTTTGCATCGTTACATGAAGAGTCTGAAATACTTTATAGCGTAATCACCTACTGTCCTACCCAATCCTTGTGCACCCAAATCATCCTACGCCATCCAGAAATTCTGCTCCCATGCCCCATGTCACATATCTCTGCTGAAATGATCAGCAGTACTTAAGCTGGACTACTTTAAAATAGATCTGTAGGAGCTGTGAGACATGAACAAGTTATCACAGTCAGCAGCTCCAAAGTAATTGCCCATATGTAAGCCTCACACGGTGTCAGCGCCCGTACACCACCTCGATTTATCTTCTGTAGGATGAGGGCATGCCTTCAGAGAGTCAGCACAGGCCCACCGGGACATGGCAAGCTAGATGCACATTAAAGGCTTAATTCTACAATTGACGCTACTCCAAGATGAAGACAGAGAGTTCACGCTTCTCTTGGACACGCTAGCTGCAGAAGTGTGAAGAAGCAGTGCGTGAGCTACATTTGAGCAATATTTCCTCTTCTAACCGTAACTCTATTTAGAGTGTTTCTGGGAGTGAAGGCAGGCTTCAAAACCTTGGAGCCATGTGTCTTACTTACAGGATGCTTTTCTGTCCTTGGGCCAGCCTGCCGTTTCCTGGCACAAAGCTCAAACGTTCCTTGTTTAAAGCCCATTTCACCTCACCGAGCACATCCGGAAGCTCCCCAAATATACACTGAGAGATCGTTAAGACCACAAGATCACTAAAGATAGATGTATTTCTGATAAAGGAGAAAGACAGAGGCTAGAGCTCTCCTAATAAAGGAAAACTCCCTACCAGTTACAAAGGTGCTCCCAGTGACGGCTGGAAATTCTATAGCTTTATGGAGTCTCAAAAATTGGACCTAGCACTACAGAGGGGACTGAAAGGGAATAATTCTACATAGAACAGCAGAGGCGTGTGCCACGCGAGTGTCCCTTGCAGATTTTCTAGTACTGGTGTCACAGAAAGCATCAGGATGCTAGACATGACACAGTCACCCTCTCACCAGGCTCCCCAGCACCCTCACAGGGAAATGCCTACTCATCCCTCGCAGACAGCAAAGGCAGAATGGACTTCAGGTTCCTCCTCCAGGGCCAGCAGCCTCTCCCTCGCTCCAAGCAGCACACTCTTGGAGCAACACATGAAACGAGGGTGCATACTCACTTCCCGTGGGGTCGGGCTTGATCGGCTCAAAGGAGGTAGAGGGACTGGGTAGGACGGAGCTGCTGTCCAGGGAGGCAGAGGACTGTAGCGGCTGGGTGTCCAACCCGGTCGGCTGGCCGGCCGATACCGATGCATTGCTGAGGGGGTCAAAGTCGCTGCTGCTCTTGGCCTCTGCCGCTGAGACACCGCATTCTGGAAAGAGCCACAGACAGACACAGGAATGTCATCTCCCGCTAGCCCCAAAGCAAGCAGCTGCCTCACAGACTGAACCCTCACTGGCAATGCTGGCCAAGCACAGTCAGCTGCATAGAAAGAAGGCTTCTTGCTTTCACCCAGCAAAAAACTCCGAGGTCCTGCTGCAGTTCTGCTGGAGAGCGGTCTCGGTGGTGCCAGGCTGCACGTAAGCCAAGAGCGCGCTCTCACAGCGGTTAACACAAGCCAGGTAGTAAGCTACACCGGGAGGAGCATGGCCAGCACACTGAGGGAAGTTATTATCCTCCTGCTTGGCGCTGAGGCGGCACTTGGAATGCTGTGTCCAGCTTTGGCCACCCGCCAGTGCAAGAAAGATGTGGAGAAGATCCAGCTGAGGGCTACCAAGATGGCCAAGGGGTCTAGAGCACATGGCTTACAAGGAGGAGTGGAGGGAGCTGGACTTGTTCAGTCAGGCAAAGAGAAGTCTAAGGGCAATCTAACAGCAGCTTGCAGCTACCTGAAAGGCACTAAGAAAAATTAAGAACGTCTCCGTGATGCCAAATGATGTAACATGCACAACAGGTACAAGATGCAGCTCAAAGGAGCCAAACAACAGGAAAAAGGAATTCCCTGAGAGAGTGCTGCAGCCCTGGAAGAGCTCACCAAGGAAGCTAGGGATCTCCATGGCTGGAGGCTTTCAAAATCCAGCTGGATAAAGCCACAAACCAACCTAATCTAGTATTTTTGGCAGTCTTTTTTCAAACTGAAAGTTAAACTTGAGTCTTGAAAAGACCCTTTTACAAACTTCTGCTAATCAATGAATCTACACCATCAGTCTCTCCCCCACCACTGCTCCTCCAGGCTGGTACTACCCCCCTCAAGTCTTATTTTCATTAACACAGCCAGTCCAACTAATCAAGACAAAAGAAAAGGCTCGCTGCAGCCAGGGCAGGGGTGCCCCCTTGGCCAAGAGCTGACAATGCTGCACGACCAGCAGTGCCAGCCTTGGCCAGGCCGAGGAACGTACTCTCCTTTGTCGGCCACCGTCTCGTTCCTGCCTCCTGCAGCCTCCCTCTCACCTGTGCTTGCGGCTTTCTGCGTGGGAGGGCTATGGTCCTGCGTGCTGGTAGGTGTCGGCGTAGAGGGCTGGGTGCTGCTGGGAACGGATGCCTCCTGGAACTGGGCGAGTGGTGGTATCTGCGGTTTCGAGGGTGCAACTGCCTGGCACTGAATGAGGTCTTCAGGGGGAGGGACAGGTAGTACGACAGGAGGAGAGCTCCAAGCATCTTTGTTTACTAAGAGAACATCAATGGGACCACTGGTGCTCTTCAGATGGATCTGATATTTCTTCTGCCCATTTAGGCCCTGAGAAAAGTAAAAAGGAAAACACAACCATACGTTAAATGCCCTTTTCAATCGGAACAGGAATTTCCCAGAGGCAAGACATGCTGTCCAGACAGTTCAGCACGGTTCCACACACAATTCCCCCGACTCCCAGGACTATTCCTCCCCTGGTGCTCCTGCAATTACTCACGTACTTCCAGACAACAGAGTTTCCTAGCAACTATTTAATATCTGGAGGCTTCCTTGGGTTGCCAGTTCCTCCAACTCCAAATTTCTGACTGCCAACTGACCAGCCTGGTCAACCCAGCAACAACCCCTGCCCCGAGACACACACACACACACACACACCCTGCAGTCTGCCCACTCATTTATCGCTCACCTCAGGGATGGGAACCTCCAAACGTGTGCCTGATGGGGCTCGAATCGCAAGGAGGGTGTCTCCTGTGAAAAACAGACTGGTCAGCACTCAGTGGGCGCAAACTGTTCTGATGATAATTAAGCACTGACAAAGAGCCCCTCCTCAAAGCACCCTGTGTCCTGCCCTCCCTTCCTTGGAGGACTGCTATTTACACCCATCTGAGCTGCTAAGCATGCCATACAGCTCCCAATGTGCCAACCACTCAGGGCACAAAGAACCTGCAAAGTTTCTCCCAAAACAACCCTAAAGTTTTTTAGCAGCATCCTTAACAGAACTAACCTTTCTTTCCCTCAGAAGGGCTTAAATTCATTCTTAAGAACAACTGAATCCTAAGGGAAAGATCCTTCACTCTGTTGTCATTGAATCGTAAATCCATGAGCGCACAACTCGGCGCTGCACTGCCAGCGGCAAGACGGTGTAGAACTAGGCTGAAGGACCAGGCTGCTAACGGCATGGCAGCCTCATGCTGGAGGACCTATACCCAAAACCAACACTCCCCAGCACAGGCGGGGTTGGGAGGCAGGCTGAAAGCATCTTTCCTTTTCAAGTTCTGCAGCTCCTTAAGACCTACGCCCCTAATAACAGGTCAGCAGCTTCCAGTCCATACCCAGCTTTACGTTTAATGTGAGAAACACAAACAGAGAAATACCGGTGCTGTGAACATTAGACTTACTCAGAGCGAGCAGTTAGCAGCTTTCATTTGGAACATTTAAGCTTTAGTGTGGTCAGGGTTCACACTTCACCGGAATTCTGCATTAAGCTTCACTTGATAATTAACGCAGAAGATCCCCAGAGCGATGAGAGAGGGTGGACAGCAGAAGAGCACACCCTTTAATTTCAGGCAGGCAATCAAACGTCAGATCAGCAAAAGGTACAGGGATTAAAAATACCACAGGATTTATCAAAAAGATGGCATTCCTTTAACAAATCTGTGATTGTTAAGAGACATTAAAAATGCACAATAAAACTCAAAGACCTAAGCTCGAGCTTTAAGAACTGTTAGTTTCAAATTCAGGTGCTGTGTTTCTATCTCCCTTGATCACTACATCCCTAATACTTTCACAAAACAGCATACAGTGTGTTTCCACTTCCTTTTTGATCCTGCAAGTGCAAAATGCATCACAGGAACAGATGGGAAATTTATGTTTCCCAGTCACTAAAAACTAACATAGTCTTTTTTTTTTTAATTTAATCCCCATAATGAATCCGTATTTGACAAGAGTCCAAGCATGGAAATCTTCAAGCCCTAATTCACTTTGAAAAAGTGAGTTCAGTAGCAGCCAATCAGAAAAACCAGGAGCTGGAATTCAGCCTGCACCACAGTTCAAGAACACAAGAGGTCCAACAAAGAATCTCTGCAAGGCTCAGGTGCCCAGGAGGGGGAGGGGGGGGGGGAAAGTTTCACAAAAAAGAAATGCGTGGAGGGGGGGGGTGGGGGGGGGGGGGGGGGGGGGGGGGGAAAGTGTCATGTAAGGCATATTCATACAGGAAAACTGAACAGATGACAGAAAAACCTGGATCAAGCCTCTGTTCTAGAAGGAATTCAAGTCTGCCTGAAAAGTAAGACCTAATCTCTGCCCGTTTTGGTGAGGTCTGACTTGAGACACAAACAGGTTTACAAAAAACAGGTGCAATAAAATGCAAAACACTCAGTCAACCAAGCAATAAGCTGTCTGCTGGTCTCCAGTAAACTCTTCCAGACTGCTAAGAGTTATCTGGCCCCAAGCACCGTCAAACTGAAAACACAATCCCTGCCCCCCAAAAAAGTGGTAGCTTAAATCAAAGTAAAGCAAAGGGGATGGTGTTGCATAGGTTAGCAGCGAGAATGTGGGCAGTATAAAATCTGGTGAACAAGGAAAGGCCACAACAAAGGCAAAGACAGAAGAGCTGATGAAGGGCAGGGTGAGAAGAGTGCTTAGAAGAGAGGAGGAGAGAGTCAGATAAAGACATGGCTTAGTGGGCACGGTGGTGTCGGGTTGACAGTTGGACTTGATGATCTTAAAGGTCTTCTCCAACCTTATCTGTGAGATAAAGGGTGAGATTAGGCATGGCTGGGGGAGGTCAGGATAAGTAGCTTCAATCTCTGCTGCAAGCAAGCAGATGCAGGTTGCACAGGGTCAGGAGAGGTCAGGTGTCCACCGAAGCAGAAAGGAGCTGCGACTCCACACCGCTACAGCCGAGAAGAGCAGTTTATGTACTGCAAACTGCTGCATTGCACGCTGGCCACTGGGGATTTTTTTTTTTTTTTCAGTCCTCCAGCTATCATTAAAATTGGCAATAGAGAAGAAACAGGGATTCCTTGTGGGTTTTCTTCACTTTTGCCCACCAGAGACAGAATTATGGCTCCTCACAGCTTTAGGAAGGCAGTACATAAGGGAGTGAGGTCACAGCAAGCAGTGTATTCCCTTCTGCCCTGCTCTTCACACTTGCGTTCTTGTTAGCAAAGGGCATGATGCAGCTGAGGGACCACTTTTTATATTATTTTCCTGCTTACACTCAAATTTCTACCATGCAATAGAATTTGCTTCCTATAATTAGAACATTGTCCACCCAAGGCCTTAAAATCAAGGGCTTCTAACATAACACACATACACCCACACAGTGACACCCAGCAAAAAGACTTCCTTAGGAATAAGCAAAAAAAAAAAAATTTAATATGCCCACGTTTTAAGCTATTTGAATCACAGAATCATTAAGGTTGGAAAAGACCTCTAAGATCATCAAGGCCAACCATCAACCCAACACCACCATGCCCACTAAACCATGTCCCCAAGTGCCACGTCCACACATTTTTTGAACACCTCCAGTGATGGTGACTCCACCTCCCTGGGCAGCCTGTTCCAATGTTTGACCACTCTCTCCATAAAGAAATTTTTCCTAATATCCAATCTAAACATAGCAGCTGTGTTCCTTTAAACACAAGTAGAAGAAACTGCCTGACCCCTCCGATGGTGGCAAGAAAGCTACAATTCAGTTGTACCCAAACCCAGGATGGCGTCAGAGCTCGCATTAGGTTTAACTTGATGCTCTTGGGCAGCCCGTGGTCCGCTGCCTCCTCTTTCCTGGAGAAAGGAGAGCAGCCAGGACAGACTGAGAGGACTGCAGCGTTACATCTTTATGATGGAGCACCATTTCCTCACCTGTGAAGCACTTGCAGATATCTTCATGTGTCACGTACGCTAATGTTCCCAAGGTTAAGGATAAAGGCTACGGCTTCCTGCGCAAACAGAGAACTCAAAGGGCACCTGGCGTTTCCTTCCTGCGCACAAGCAACACCATTCCCAGAAAGCTCTCCACGCCCCACTCTGAAGTGGTCTGCAGGCGAGGTCTGCAAGCTACATACTCGTCAGAGGTGACATCCTAAGATAGCCAAGCCACAGGAGCAGCTCTGCACTCAAGAAAGTGGCACCTGTGACTCAGAGCGAAGCACTTCTCTCATCATGGTAAGCATTGCAGTGTTTTTTACTTCAAAAAGCCAGACATGAAGCTGGGCACTGCAGAGCAAGCTGGTGCCCAGGCTGGAACACCCTAATTTCAAAGGCAGGCACTGCCTCTTGACCCTTTCAGTGCAGAACCTCCAGCAACATCAGGTCACCACCACCCCAGCCCTCAGGTCTCTGCTTTTCAGCCCCGCAAGCAAACAGGGAGACAGAGTAATCAGTTCACACAAAGGATATCGACTGTTCTGCACGTCTTCTGTAACATTTTTGATGCTCTGCCGAACCCACATCTTCTGCTGCTCCAGCTCCTGTTCTCGCTGCTCCAGGTCCTCTATGTCTGCCTTCAGCTCGATAAGTTTGTGAGCTATTTCACGTGTGTTGCAGCCAGGACCCACCCCTCTGTGCAAAGTAAAAAGGAGTGACATGCATCAGCCTCTGGAGGCACCCAGACCAGCCCCAGCCTCCCAGAGAGGTTGCCACCTGACTTACAGCCAACCCTGTCATATGTCAAGGCCAGATCGCCTGGAAAGCCTCATCTCTGCCTCTCCAGATCCCCACCTTCCAGCACAGCAACATTTGGTACATCTGCCTACATGCCACAGGGCTGTCCCCCATCTCCAGTGCCATGACGGGCATCTTTTCTAGCCCAAGGCACTGCAAATGCTTAATTTGTACCAAAATGACAGCTCTGCTGTAAGAGAGACGGGCCATATGTACATCAGCTTTCTCATTGCTACCATCAGCATAGCCCAGCTTGGGGAAGAACAAGCATGCACAGACCACCTTGCTTGGAGCGGGGCATTTTAACCACGGTGTCACTTAGACAACAGCCTCACGGAGCCCTGCTTGCCTGAAGAGGAAAAAGGTGCCCATACGACAAGACCTGGGCCTAGAAGGGACCTGTCAACGATTTAGATCTTCTCAGTCACTCACTTCCACTGGATACTGTTCTTGGATTTCTTCTCGATCAACCCGATGCCTTCGAGGACATTCGTGATATCGTAGATCCGTCGCTTCTGTCGCACAGCCAAGGTATCCGCAGCCTGCAAAAAGGTTAGGCACTTAACTCCAAACTCTCAGGCATGTTTCACTCCTTCCTGCCCATCAGATTAATTCCTGGCCAAGCACATCTCATACCTCTCTCGTCTCAGTGCCTCAAATTACAAAGCTGTGTTCTCAATGTCATTACAACCATGAGAAGAAGCCACTGCTCCTTCGTTCCTTTTCATACCCACCAACCTCCCCACTAAGCACAACCCAAATTCCAGCCATCTCGTGCACAGTGGGTCCAAAAATCACCATTCCTCAGCAGCAAAGCAGTGCTGGAAGACACTGGTCTGGCAGCCTAAAATTTCAGTGCTCCTTCAGGGTAAAAGAGATGGGGATGGGAAGAGGAATGCAGAGACCTGTCTGCATGACTGACAATAGCTTAGAAAAGGCAACATTCAAAAGGCCTTTTCTAAATCTGATCTGATGCCGCTTGATAGAGAATCAACACCTTTTCAAGAGAGGCAGATTTCTTTGAAAGACATGACACCGGGAGGGGAGTAAGCATGGCTGTAAGGGAGGGGCTCCTCAGCAGCCGTGGGACTTCCCTGCCTTGCTCATATGACTCTCCTCCCCTCGGGTTTCGGGACATGCCGGACTGTGCTGATACGTCTGTTTCCACTACCACATGGCAACCCAGTACCAGCAAGAGTTTAAGTGGCACGGCACCAACGCAGCCAGGACAGCAATGTCAGCAGCACTGCATACAGAGCGGGTCAGCACAAGAGTGATGTTCCCTCTCACCTACCAGTAACAGGCTGGGACTTCAGCGACCGAACACTGCACAGCCATTGAAATCACGCTAACAAATACAAATCCCACCTAATGGGCATTTTAAGCAGAAATGTATTGCCCAAATCCAAAGAGACGACAATTTGGCACGAGAGAGGACGGACACCTACAGCCAGGAGGCTCCTCCAGCCCTTCCACTTTCAGGGATTTCTGGCACTTGTCTGCTGCCTGGAAAGGGTTAGAGCGCACTCACACGCATATCCACGGAAGAGCTATTTGTAGAAACCACAGCTAAGGAACTTCACCTACAGAAGAGGCCTAGGTTTAAGTACAGTACATGCCACAAAGACAGAGTTACTTCCTCTAGGTGAAGACCTTCAAAATGCAGAAGCAAGGCATGTTCACAGGGCACTTCTCCACAGCCTAAAGGCATCAGGGACAACCTGTGGCAGAGATGAATCTGCCCACGCTCCCCTTCCTGCTGCGTGCCGGGGGGCAAAGGGCAGTACAGAAGCACAGTCTCTCTGTTTCTATACGTCTCAGAGGCTTTATAGGGCCAGATCCTTATGGTGCTGGTGATCAAGTAGCACCTGGGTGTG